CATCAAAACGTCATCATCTTTTAGAAATCATTTGTCCACCGATGGATTCTTGCCGTTTGCACCTAAACATGTTGTGATCGTTAATAAATTAACCACAAACGTAACATTGGTTGCGCATTGCACGAACAAAGAGAAAGATTTGGGGGTAAAAGCGATCCAACCTGGAGGTAGATTTGATTTCAGGTTTCGTGTCAATTTCCGTAAAATGACAACGTACAAATGTAGTTTTGAGTGGCCCGCAAATAAAGTAACATTTGATATATTTCGGGTAGATAGAGACGACAGTGTAGAAAGTCAATTTGGAGTTTGTAAAGAATGTATTTGGTACATTTATGAACCAGCCCCTTGCCGTGCTAAACGTGATGGAGGCTCTTCTATATGTTTTGCATGGGATTCTTAATCGCCTTAAAATAGCTACTAAATCATTTTTCCGTCTCCTTGATTTATAATAGTGACAAAACAAGCAGATTAAGTGGATAATATTGTTTTTACATATTTGTTACTTATATTGTGATAATAATTATATTTTTCTTCCCTCATAAATCACTTTACCGGATTTTTTGCCTAATTTTATCAACACATTACCCCATCTTATAAGCAGTTTGGTCAAATCCCTATCCTATTTCTACATATCGTATTCATATAAATATTATTTGGCTGAGAAATGTGACACATGATAGTCCATAGGTGTCCATAAAGATATGTGTCGTTCAAAGTCCATAACCTGATAAGTGCACAAACTTTATTATCTGATCTCGGATGCGTCATAGACTCTGTCTATTCAATTGAAAGAGGAAAACGTTACACAATAGTTACCAAAACGCCTGTGAGCACAAAATAATTGAAAAGGAAACTAGAGGAACGGAAACAATCACTTTGCATTATTCTTCATGTGGAATGGAAAGAAAATCATTATAAAACTCCCACCAAAATCTTTTCGAATCGGGCAAGCATCCAAAGATGAACCAAACCATCCCTAACCTCTCTTGTTTCTCTCATTATCATACATGATTCTCCATTTATTTAATTTGAGCTTAAAAGGTTTCAAAAATTTTGGACCCTGGCATTGGCTCCTCCTTCTCTTGTCCAAAACCGCCCGTGCTCATAGTTTTGATAAATGAAATATGATGGTAG